GTTTGCGGAAGATTTACGGGCCTTTACGCGTTGGCGACGGCGAGTACCGCAGACGATGGAACGATGAGCTGTATGAGCTTTACAACGACATGGGCATAATGCAGCGAATTAAAATACAGCGGCTCCAATGGCTTGCGCCAGGAAGAGGGAGGCCCCCACTGCGATGGAAAGATCAGGTGGAGAAGGACCTGGCTTCACTTGGCGTTTCCAATTGGCGTCAGGTGCCACAGAAGTGAAACGACTGGCGCCAAATAAGAAGAAGAAGTAGAGGATAGGGAAGGCGGTGGAGGCTTTGAAGACGATGCCACCACTTTAATGGGGCAAAGGGAAGATACTTCAGGCTCGTTATTGTTCGAAGCAGATTTCATTACACGCTCTTTTGAGGCTGAGGATTCTGATGCTGGAGGACATGGAGAAGATAGATTAATTAAGTCAGTCGGAAGATTATTCTAACGTGGAACGGTAATAATTTCCTTAGATGGACTATGAAGACGCTTACGTTTAGACACAGGGATATCCTTAACAGATTGCAAGGTATCTAAGCATTTGAATGATTTAAACACATTTTTATAATGCTTAAATTGTTCTGTCAGTACTGAAAATTCTCTTCCTATTGCTGTAAAACCATTTCTGGTTTGCGTAAATAACTTGAAAATATCAACTTTGGTTGACTTACACTTTACGCAAGACGCTTGTCATCATTAATAGCGTCGATAATTCTTCCTGTCAAACCAACACATTTCAGATAACAAATACCATCACAATGCCAGCACGATAAGTAGCGTTCAGAATCGCTTTTAATTTGGCAAGTATCAAGCTCGCACTTCATATTGAAAGATTTAATAGCACTTGTTAATAAAAAGACAAACAAAATAAATTACAACAATTAAGGAGCTGATGTAAATAGCTTTAAATAAATGTAGCGAACAGTTTGAGTATCACTGTAATTATGACACTTAGTAAACGCAACGCAAACAGCTGTGACAAGAATTACTAGAAGAAGTAAACAAAAGGAACAGATCAAATGTGCAAAAACAAAACGATTTCAGTTAACTACAATGGATACAACAACAATGATAGCAACAAATGACTCGGCAAGTTTAGAATGTATGCTAGTGAAATCTAATTAAATTTAGTTTAATATAAAACGCAATAACTTTCTATTTTTTAATATTTTTATTAAGCTTTCTACCACGATTGTTTATTAGGAAAAATTGAAAAAGCAACAAAGTCAAAGCGGTAGATGTTATAGCAGCTATTTCGGAGATCACGACATCTCTTCATCTTCATCAACTTTCATTTAGCTTCATTTATTTCACACTAAGATGCTCATAGGCACTTTTTATCACAACTTTAAGTCAGAATTAGCACAATAAACTTAGCAAATAGAAAGCCAAAATCAGAGCACAAAATAAGTACAACCTCACAGCTTGATGTTTGCGTTATTAATACTGAATTTAGAATTTATAACAATCCTAGGGGGTGTGAGCAATACAATTCCGACTTTACTGTTTTTGGACCACCCTAATACACATACATGTGTGTATTGGCTTAGCTTACAGAAATATATATGCCAACGGTGGGCAAACGCAGCTCTTTGAGCCAAATGCGGCTCTTTGCTTAGCAAACTGCGGCTCTTATTACTTTTTCTTTGCTTAGAACATTTTGGCTCTTTTTACTTTTTAAAATAAGTATTTCTCTGCTGGACATTCTTTTGAATTGTGTTGTTTTTTTATTTTATTCTTTTATGTACACATAAGCAAATAGAGATCGGAGCATTACCCGCAATTGGAGAAAGAAGATTGGCTTTCTGACTTCATATTCTTTACCTATATGATGGAACATTTGCAAAACTTGAGTTTTTTGTACAAGAAGAATTAAAGTTTTGAAGCTAAACTACGTCTTTTTATTTATGATCTCAAAAAAAAAAAGAATATTTCATAATTTTCCATGGGTAGAGAAAAATATTGCACATGATTTAAAAGCTGATTTTGAAAAAAGATCTGCCGATTTGAAATTATTTAAATGTACGTATGCATACTTCATAAACCATTTTTTATGTACCATAATTGAGGATGAATTTACAATATCTGAAATACTACTTTTTAAGAAAAGCGAAGTAGAGTTGGAGTTTTTGGAATTAAAAGAAGATGAGGCAACATAAAAGCTGTGCCATTAGTTGAATTCGGACAAGAAGTACCAGATTTAAAATATCCGCTGTTGAAAACAGCTGCGTGCCGTAAATTTTCAATTTTTGGTACAACGTATAACTGTGAGTCTTTGTAATCTACAATGAAATTCGTAGTCAAAATACCGTTCACAATTAGTTGAATTGAACGTTATAAAAACTATCAGCTTTTTGTGTTCGCGTACGCAAAAAACTTGCAAAGTAGGGAAATTGAGAGAGCAAAATGACATTTCATTTTGAGGGAAAGCTGTTAGTTTCTGCTGGAAAATTGTTTGCCAACAGCAATTTGCCATTAAGAAAACAGGTGATCAAAAACAGCTGGAATTTACGCAAATCCCTAAATTGAATTTGATGGTTTGGAAATTAAAATAGTAAATTGCGACTAATTATACTTGTAAGCAGCAAGTAATTATTCGTTTAGTCAGTGAACTGTGTCAGGATAAGACTTCGGGATTTGTTTTCTTATGTTTTCAGTCTTATACTTTTAAATGTAAACAAAATTTCTATCTATTTCTATAAAAATTTTCTGTTCGCATATTGTTTTGGATATTTTTCTCTTGCGAGGGAACAGATGACATTCCGCAGGAATTTAGCGTTTCTGTTACGAACCGCTCTAACTGACGTAAAACCAGATTTTGCAAATTCGGCGTACGTAAAAGATTCTATACGTTTTCTTTAATATCTATCTTACGTACATTAGAATAATAATACAATTAATGTTTTTCATTTCTAATAATAATTTTATTTAAAAATAATTTTGTTTTTGTTTTTCTTGTGGCTCTTTGTAGCACTTAGAATTTACATGTGGTCCTTTTCGGCCTAGTCCTTGCCCACCTCTGATACATGCTTGTGCTTATAGAAAAGCGATGTTAACAGAAATCAAGCATTCAATAATATTTTGTGTGAGCCACAATTTGTTTACATTAGCTACAAAATAAGTTTAATGCACTTTTGGCGCCTGTGGAACTTTGTTATGTAGATATGCATTTCTGATACACTACACCAGATACGTTTATGCCATATGATGTAGTAATTGGTTAGGATGTATTTCGCATAGAAAGTTGCAGGTTAACCATCGAGGCTGGCGTCATGTAGGTACACCATCGAAGCGATGCAACATTTGTTGTCAACGAAGCATTGAACGTAGCAGATTCCCGAAATGTTAAAGATTTTTTGCAGACATACACAAGCTGTCTTACGGAGGACTTGTCTGACGGGAAATCATCTTCACCACTGATCAACCAGTGATTGGTAGGCAGTATCAAGTCCCGTTTTATCAACGTCCGACGTTATCGAATATCATAAATGACTTGCTGGCTCATGGCATTATTAGGCCGAGTTCGTCACCGTACCGCGATTTCGCACCGCTCTCAAAACAAATCGCGGTTGCCTCAACTAAAATTTGGTAACTATGACTACACCATGTGTGGAGAGAAAGCTTTCTGCATTAGCAGAGCTTAATAACACCCTTTTATGAACCATAGGTTAAGTTGAATGGAATATGTCGAAATAGGCTTCAAAGCAATATTCATTAGTATTTACCAGGGGCGTGAACCGGGCGAAATATTTGGACGGTTTGGTTCAGCGGTTCGAACCATTTTTACGCTTTTGGATTGGTTCGTCAAAGCGGTTTTTTTGCTCTTTGAACCGGGGTTTCGGTTCGGTTCAACGGTTCGGAAATAAAAAAAATAACGCGTATCGTCTTTGTTACAAGCGGATCTAAGCAACGTTGGTGTAATTGAATCAATAATTGAAATACTTACTTAAGCATATCCAATCAGCTGATGAATTTGTTTCTGTAGCTGAATAGTTTTAGATCTCGGCACTTAAACTCCTGTTTCCACAACTCGGCACCAAAAGAAAAAATAAATAAAAAGAAAAAGTTCCGAACGTCATGCGGACTACGCCCCTCGGGCCGGTTGGGCGGGAAAGGAGGGTCAAAACCGTTGGGATTAATTAATTAATTAAAAAATTTGAGCGTCAAGTGTCAAGTGCAACAACGCGCAAGGATAAATGGCATGTGTCTGTCAAATGAGATAGGTTGCCATTACATTTGATATTGGCATATGGTAAACAAACTTTTGGTTGAAACGAACCTTTAAACCTTTATGAAAATTGGTTCAGTTTTCGGTTCGGATCCAACATTTGTGGAAAATTTCGGGTAATGGTTCAGTTAGTTTATATAAAAAAACCGGTTCGGTCCAAAACCGGTTCACGTCCCTGGTATTTACCAAACTCTACACCTATAGTAACGATTTAGTTCAACCCAGATGAATACCACAAGCTTTATTGTATTTAGTAATAATAACCAAACCCTGGCAATAGTTCAAATATTGCCAGAATAATAAACTACACTAAATATATTTAGTTGTCGAAACTTACGTTTTTTCTCATTGTATGAAACCGCCACATGCAATGGCTGCTTTACTTTTTACGGACGACTTAATATTGATATGTGCTCTTATGTATGTATGTATTTTTATACCTTAACCAACTGGTACGCCTTGGGGTAAATACGTTTAGTTTTTCCTCAATTACAACATAAGCTCACTCGATAGAAGCCATGGTACATCAAAATTTTAACAATGTTGCAACGTATTCAGTCAAACAATATTTAGGTCCGTTTTCACATTCTGCTCTTGACTTTAGATTTTAAGTGCACAAATTGAAAGTTAGCTGTGGAACAAGAGTTAAACCATATTGTGTTAAAAATGATGATGATTTTCAAATATTAATTATTATTATTTTTGTGGTAATCTTAAAGGTTGAACTTCGTGACCACGATCACACAGTAGAATGCATAGCATGGGCGCCAGACTCTTCAATCATTGCAATAAATGAGGGCACAGGCGTTGACAACAAAAAAGGGCATCATCAAGGACCATTTTTAGCATCTGGATCTCGAGACAAAACAATTCGGGTACGTTAAATCATCATCTAAATCATATTTCACAATTTACTTATATGCATGTATACTTGTACGCTCGCTGTGGCCGAGTGGTTAGAGGTGTGTACTACCACTTCGTAGGACCTGGGTTCAATCCCTGGTCCAAGCAACATCTGAATTAGAAAAGTTTTTTTTTTTAACAGCGTTCGCCCTTCGGCAAGCAATGGCATTTCTGTTTTGAAAAGCCGTCTCGTAAAATCCATTTGCCGTTCGGAGGTGGAGTAAAATTGTAGGTTCCTCCGTTTGTGTTATATCTTCAGGACGCGCACCACAAATTGGAGGAAAAGCTCAGGCAAACACTTAGAAAAAATGTAAGCTGCAAAATATTACTGTTATTATTGAATTTGCACTTAAGCTAACTTACATGAAATAAGAACAAAACAGGAGCTTTCAAATGCGGACTAAATGATGCAGAATCGATTGTAGGTCATTGATAGATGACTTCCAGTCTCCTTCAATGCTCATAATAAAAATAAGTGATTCAAAACCGTTTTGGAGAAATGCATTGTAAATACTAAAATTGATACCTTGTTTATACCGACACATAAAGCGCTTTGACCCAGTTCGCTGTGATTCAAAACGGAGGCATAAACCAACTTTCAACACGCTAAGAAATTCAAAAGTGTATTGACTCGAATTTGTTTTCAAATTGCTTTTTTATTTCTCACAAAAAACAGGTATAAACACATCATTAATTTGACGCGAAGTGAAAAATGGCCGGTTTTCTTTATACAGCCCCTTTTAAGTTTGAATCATTATTACAACAAATTTAAATTCTTGTTCGCTTCCATTTCGGTCCACCGCGCAAATTAATTATTAAAGAAATATCGAATAAAAATAACAAGTTTAGTTTACTTTTGAATGCGGTTTCAGTGAGTGCGCTAAAATGACACCGGTATAAACGCTTGAAAGAAATATGTGTTGAATCAAATCGGCTTTTTGTTAATGCGGTTTTTTCGTAGGTATAAACAAGGTATGACTCAAGTGTACCGAGTTAACATTTTTCTACTATTTTATTGAAACATATTTTTTCTAGAATATCACAATCGTATGTAGGTCTATTACCTTAATTATACCAACACACATTAGCGCACACAAGGGTTGGGTTTTGGGGTTCAAACCCCCCCAAAATCTAATAACCTGAAATACAAACTGTATCCTAAAGCCGGCTCTCAAGAAAAATAACAAGAAATATTTTTTATCAAAAAGCACTTTGCTTTTACTGTAAATTTTCTTGAAGAAATAAATATACGAGCATTTTTTTCTTGGGAGATGCACACTTATTTAAGGAATTTTGATAGAAGAAAATTTCTATTCCATTTCTTGTGCGTAATTTTATATTTTCGTTTTTATTGAGAGCTCTTAAAAGTTTAACTTCGAATTAAACCATTGTCCTAAAAATATGCAATGCATACTCACTTACTGTTGTTTTTTACACCTTACAGCCTAAAAGAGTTTACCACTGATATGTACTTAACAAGGATTCGAAGATTTAATTTACCAACTTCGAATTCGTTCCACCAAAATTACCTAAATAATAAAAATGAAAGTCCATTTAATTTTTCCCAAAATTCACCAAATCAATCGAAAACCTGAAACCAGAAATTGAGGAAAATGAACATTAAAACAATTTTTTAAATTTTTTTATTACTTTTGAAAGTTGAGCGCATCTTGTGTTTATAGAACTTTATATTAAACAAGTAACAGGACAAATTACGGGACGACGCTTGAGGTACCATCTTTCCGATTAAAAAAAAAGAATTATTGAGATTGGTTCACGTGGTTCAAAGTTATGCGGTAGCATACACAAAAAAGACAAAAAAATACTCCGACGAATTGACAACCTCTCCCTTTTTCGAAGTCGGTTACAAATGTTTGAGTTCTTTGCTAATTTTATGTAAATAAAGTGCAGTTTACGAAAAAACTTGCATAAATGTACCTTAAAGAGCATATTATCTGAAGCGAACTTTCAGAAGTATAAACCCCTCCCAAAATATTTTCCTGGGTGCGCCCCTGCCAACACATAAAGCGCTTTGACCCCGTTCAATGTGATTCAAAACGGAAGCATAAACCAATTTTCAATATGCTTAGAAATTCAAAAGTGTTTTGATTCGAATTTGTTTTTAAATCGCTTTTCTATTTCTCACATCGGTTAGAAAACAGGTATAAACACATCACTCATTTGACGCGAAGAGAAAAAAGGCTGATTTTATTTATACAGCCCGTTTTAAATTTGAATTATTATTAAAAATAACAAATTTTGTTTACTTTTGAATACGGTTTCAGCAAGTGCTCTATAACGACACAGGTATAAATGTTTGAAAGAAGTATGTGTTGAGTCAAATCATTTTTTTTCTTTCTGTCGAATACTCCAAGAGGCCACCTCATCGGATGTTGTCATTTTCCATGTTTCTGTGCCATATACCAGCACGGGCATGATGAGTGAATTATAGAGCGTGGTTTTCGTACGTCGAGAGAGGACTTTACTCCTGAATTGCCTACTCAGTCCAAAGTAGCACTTGTTGGCAAGAGTGATTCTGAGTTGGATTTCGATGCTGGCATTATTATCAGTGTTAATGCTGGTTCCCAAGTAAACGAAATTCTCTACTTTCTCGAAATTATAACTGTCAATAGTGACGTGGGTGCCAAGGCGCGAATGTGCTGACTGTTTGTTTGTTCACAGGAGATACTTCGTCTTGTCCTCGTTTACCATCAGACACATTCGCTTTGCTTCCGTATCCAACTTGGAACAGGCAAAACATACTTCGCGGTTTTTGATACCGATGATATCGATGTCGTCGGCATAAGCCAGCAATTGCACGCTCTTGTAGTAAATTGTCCCTGAGCAGTTCAGTTCTACCGCTCTTATTATCTTCCCCAACATCAGATTAAAGAAGTCACATGAAATGGAGTCGCCCTGCCTGAAACCCCGTTTAGTGGCGAACGGCTTGGAGAGGTCTTTCCCAATTCTGACGGAGCTGGTGGTATTGCTCAACGTTATTTTTCCAGTTATGAGTTTTGAGGGGATGCCAAATTCAGACATAGCAGCGTATAGGCAACTCCTTTTAGTGCTGTGAAAAGCGGCTTTAAAGTCGACACATAGGTAGTGAGTGTCGATCCTTTTCTCGCGGGTCTTTTCCAAGATTTGGCGTATTGTGACTACCTGGTCTATGGTGGATTTGCCAGGTCTAAAGAAACACTGATAAGGTCCAATCAGTTCATTGACGGTGGGCTTCACTCTTTCACACAATACGCCCGATAAGACCTTGTAACCTATGCTTAGAAGGCTGATCCCGCGGTAGTTGGCGCGAATGGCGGGGTCACTTTTCTTGTGGATTGGGCAGAGCACACTTAAATTCCAGTCGTCGGGCATGCGTTCTTCTGACCATTTTCAGCCAAGAGTTGATGCATGCACCTTATCAACTCCTCGCCGCCGTACTTGAATAGCTCAGCTGGCAGTCTGTAAGCTCCAGCAGCTTTGTTGTTTTTCAACCACGTCACAATCAGGCGCGTACCTCGTCATAATCAGGCGGTGGAACGTCAACTCCGTCATCATCGACTGCGGACTCGGGTTCTTCTTCTCCACAACTTTCCGCGGCGTGGCCCTGTAGGCGGCATCTTTTTTCTCTGCAGCTTCCTGACACTCCTCATCGAACCAGTTGTTCTTTCGGGCTCGCTGAAATCCGACTACTTCTTCGGCGGCGGTACTTAATGAGCCGGAAATGTGGTTCCACTGCTCGCATATGTCGGTTTGTTGAAGGATGCTCTGTAAGAGCAGGTGTGAGAGTCGAGTAGCGAAAGCACTGGCTGTCTGTTGTGATTGCAGCTTTTCGACGTTAAACTTTCCTTGCATATTTGGGCGCAAATTTTTTTGCTGCACAGACGCGGGTGCGTATCTCGGCTGCAACAATATAGTGGTCAGAGTCGATGTTTGGGCCTCGGAGTGT